GGACGAAGACGGTGAAAAGGTAAGTAACCTGAGCCTGGAGCTGTGCTGCCGTCCCGAGGAAAAACACCGTAAGAGCTTTCGGGTGTTGCCACATTTCCCCCGGTAAAACATTTATTTTTTACACAATTCATGGATATTATGACTAGAAGTTTTATAATATTTGACACTGAACTGCGCAAAAAATTAGAAAAAAATATGGAGAACACTGAAAAAAAGAAAAAATTGGATCTAGAGTCCAGACTCTTGAAAACATTGACAAGAAAAAATACTCTTAATTCAATCGGATTTTTGCTTGAATCAAAACAAAATCCACTTAAATTAACAGGCTTGATTCTTGATTTAAGCTAGATTCTGATTGAGTCAAGCGTACTTTTTCTTGTCGATGTTTTTAAGAGTCTGGACTCTAGATCCAATGTGTTTTTTTTTCCAGTGAAGTTTTCCTGTAGATTTGTAATTTATCAAAGGGAATATGGCAACGTCTGATGGCTCATAAGTCGTTTTTCCTTGGCATCGCAGCGTGGAGACGTCGCTCCAGAGGTAGGGGCAGAAGCTCGGCTCCGTGGACAGGTGAAACTTTCGACCGCCCTCGGCAGCTTTTAACAACCCATTTTTCGTTGTTCCCGCCACGAAAGAACGTGACTACATTACAATGTTGCAAAATTTCCCCTCGCAAACTGCGTTTTTACCAGGAGAATCCTCGGCATCGCTACCTGAGAATTCAACTGATTGTTCTTCTAGTTTTCATATGCAAAATTCAGATATAATGTGGACAAAAAATGCATGGTTATATTCTCGTAAAAAGTTGAATTGTTTGAAACGCTTTGATAACCTTGGAATAAAGTTACGTTCCTTCGTGCGAGAAACGACGTTTTGAATTTTTGAATTCATTTCTTTCAAAATTCACCCCTTCTCCTAAAAACGCTGTGAGTTTTGAGCCTTCTTATTTTAAAAACATCTTTTTTAATATACTTGTTAAACATAATTTTCTTCCCCGTCCTTTTCCTTGCTCTTCGCTAAGAGGTACTGCTTTATTGTGCGTTCCTTTTCTTTCCAAATTTTTTCTTGTATTTCACTTTAAAGAGAGAGAAAGACGAAAAAAACCGCGCTACTGGGCGCAAAAATTACATATCGATGGCCGAAGTACAAACCACCTCCTTTAGTGGCATTGCAGACATCCTGTCATGCTTTATTTTTTCCATGAAAAACTAGTAGGTTGACTAATATTTTTAAGACTTCATTGACTTTTTTAAGCAGATTTATCTGAATAAATTTCAAGCTATAGAGTCGGTTTGTTTCTCTTCGAAAAAATCGAGTACGAAAGGAAATTTTGAAACACCGCATTAAAGATACGTGGTTTCGCACTTATAGCAATCGATATTATTTTCTTCTCCCTCGTTGATTTCAATTAAAATGTACCTAAATTGCGAATTTACCGATTTGATTTTTATCACGATTGAAACCTGATACTAAGAGTATGAGGCTGTGAACTAACTTGTTTTCGGGACTTCCAAAAGTAGGATTCTATTCCCGGCCAAAGGAAATCGAATTTAAAACGATTAGCTGGAATAGTCGACCGCAATCCATGCGGGCCGATTATTGAAATTGATCGACAAAACTACAGACAAAGAAGACAGAAGGGGTATGGTGGGATTCTATTGGTAAAAAAGGATGACTACAATGGACAAAGGAGCTAAGGAGTTGCTAATTAACGGCAACCGACAAGAGACCCGACAGTCAGACCATCATTTTCTTCCTCCGTCAGTCAGAACCACCAGTTGCAACCAATAGAATAGCTCCATACTCCCTATGTTAGTGTATTTTCCGAAGAAAATACACTATTTTTTGTCTACAGCCTTGACTATCAATTTCAATGATCAGTTCGCTGGTTTCAAAGAAAACGCAAGGGTGCTCAAAGGCTTATAGTTTCCCTCGGCCCTTCGGCCAGTGATGCCAATTTTCAGAGGACCCCTTCACTGTGACATCAAACGCGAATTGAAGTCGGTAATTTTTTCCCCTCATTTTTTTCTCCCCTTTTTTGCGTATTCAGGTCGACTTGGATATGAAATGAAGTACTCATACGCAATTACTCTACAATTATGAGGGATAGGCGGTGGGAGATGTGGAAGATTTAAAAAGGGATCCACTCCCCTTATGAATTCCGCGACCGAGGGACAACTTTTCCCGCGCTCATTTACCGGTTCGCGCCGCAAGTTCAATCCCTTGTCCCCTTCTTGCTTACAACCCTTCTTATTCCTCAGGCGCCAGCTGGAGGAATGACCCTGTCACCATCCATTTGAAGGGCTAATCGACTTCGTTACAATAACAACTAGACCGCAGAGCACTCAATTGGCATCCCCTGTTAACCGGAGAAAAATTAATGCTCAGAGAGGCACACAATTGCTCAATTATCAGTAACATTGAATATTTCTGACGATCAAATAATTTTTTTGTCAGCATCCGACGATTGTCCTTTCATTCTACAAACAGTAGGAATGGAAATCCAGTCTCACTTTTATCAAGAAACTGGAAGAAACGAATAAAAAGTAGCCATACTCTGAGACAGCCCAGAAAGAGGGTCCTGGGAGACCTAGGGAGGGGGCCGAAATTTCCCTAAATCTAAGTTTTAAAAGAATTTGATTCACATGGGATCGAACAAGACTGCTAAAGGGGGGAAAACGTGACGTTTTCAATGTAAGATTTGTATCCTCCTTTCTTGAACAGACTAGTGTGTGTATGTCAAAGATTTGAAATGCTGAGTAATTAAAATGTGCTGCGTAATTTTAGAACTTAATTAAATTTAGGAATCAGTACCTAAACCTACTCTTTTTACTTGATAAAAATCTATTTTTATTTCATAAAAACCGCTTACCCAGCTAAACTTTTATTACTAAGGAAAAACAGTACCAGGGTAAATAGATTACGACCTTCCAACGTGACAGAACTTCTTGCGGTACAAAAATTCTGGAGGTACCTGACATCTTGAGGGCAATTACTTAGATGGTTACATACTTGAAGGGCTCATGAAAATTCTGAAGCATTACTTTTCTGTGCAGTGAGTAGTGTGTTTATGTTCTTCGGTATTTGCTTGAAAAAATTGGCAAAATGAAGCCAGCTGTAAATTAATTTAAGTGCTCATCGTGGGGCAACAATACGAGAGGAAAATGTTCCTCATCCTGGATCTTTAAGGATTCTTATCATATTCGATCAACAAGGTTCCTTATTATTCATGCTGGACTGTCTTTGCATGAAAATCTTGTTACTATTAAGAGACAGTTTGTCGTTGAAACAAGATTCTGATTCTCACATTAGGACAGTTTAGTGTGGTCTTTTAGTGGTAGGAAGGTAGTTTATACCCTGTAACCGACTAACACTAGGGAGGGCTCCAGTGGGTCTTCCGACTGATCTCTTGTAGAATCTAGATATTTTTTTGTTAATACTCGTATTCTATTCACTTATGATTTTCTTTCCAATTAAGTTCACTGACTTTGTCTCTTTGTATTTAGGAGTGCAGAATCTTCCTAACTTCCACACTTTCATGCCCCCCCTCCCCCAACTTTCCACAAAATTTCTTACCAATTAAAAAAAAGATGATGTTTTTCTTGTGTTTTCTGCGACTTTCAGCTTGTGATCTTTGAAAATTTTCCTCCCTTCTACATTTTGGGGGCCTTCCACATTTTCACGTGCTCGATCAAGCACTTTCTTCCCCTCTGTTTGTCTTTGAATTTCTGCCAATGAGACATTTATTTAGTGGTATGTACATGTTTACATCAAGTCAAACCTCACTACTGATACTGAATGTGTTGTCGAGTAAATCAGATACCATTTAGTTTTCCTACTTCTCAAATGCAAATCAACAGTCCTACTGACCTCTGGAGACTGGTGAGTATGAGGTAGAAATGTTAAGCGTTCATACATCAACATTCAAGTCGTTGGGTGAGTAATTCAGACGGAGTTGAACAACAATAACGCTAACGGCATTGGGTAATTCTATTTTGAGCCAGCTCAAAACAGTCTAGAGCTTGTGCATCAAATGTTGAGACAAACGTTAATCTCTGATTACCTCTGAATTAGTACCACTCAACAAGTTAATACATGCGGTCAGATGGCACCCTCTGATGAGTGGTGACATGGACGATACTTTGACATGTATCTCAACATACAATGCACAAGCTCTACCTTAACACCACACCTGTTTTTATCTACTTTAATAATGCCTAATCTGAGCAAGTGTAAATTTGAACCCTAGAATACAGTGAAAAGCTCCTGTCAGATAAGTAAGTTAGCAGTTGTTCACTATTGACTGTCATCACAGGAAACCAATTTACAAACTTGCCTACGGCAGCATCATTATCTATTGATCAATCTTCGATCACTGAGGGAAAGTGACAGAATGACCCGCTGCAAGCGGAAGGTAAACAAAGGCGGCCACTTGTCTAACATGAATTTTGAGGTCATTTGATGAGCCACCAATCTACTGCATTCATTAATGGTGGTTTCAATATACACCGGTGCTCAATTCAAGCAGTTTGATGACATTATCACTGTCTCTTTTCTTCATCCAAACTCTCGAATCAAGGATGAAATTCATTCTTTCGGTTGAATCTGAACCAAAACCTATGAGCGCTGCAACAAGTGAATGAGATAACTGATCAAAGTTAGTGCATTGTCTAAAACAGAGGGTTCAATTACTTTTGAGACTGGCATCATACAACAACTTTGTCAGTAGGTACCATTAGTCATCTATCTAATTTATGATCGAATTGACAAGTGATTTCGTACTGGTTCTGTAGGGTGGACGCTTTGAGCATCCAAAGCTCCGTGACTCAACAGTATAAAAAATTGGTTAAGAATCTAAATGATGATTCACTGCAAAAGGAAAAAAAAAAGTAATAACAAATTGTAATCCTGACTAATAAATACGACTGACTGATCGTGGCGATAGAAGTCCTGGAAAGCTGCCAATACGTATATCAACTAAGGAGTAGAAAAAGCGAACATACCGAAGATAAGAAGAATATCCTTTTCCGAATTTCTGGATGAAATTGCTGGAATAACAGTACTTAGACACAGAAATAACAAGTAAGTAGGCACTGAATTATAGGATCACAACGAAGATGTATGTACACAAGTTGGTTTTTATCACACAGACAGAAAGATAAACAGAGTTTCCATACTCTGACCGCACGGACACCAAAAGTTAAAGAGTAACTATTCACAGCTGAGTGCAAACACTTAATTCAATTAAAAGTACAAATTTAATTAGTGCCACTGATCTTAGTCCCACTAGACAGATATGGAGCGATTTGAGAAATCAAGTCCCCTCTCCTCCCCGCCGTTCACGTGAGAAAACACTTGCCACAATTCGACTGAAGGAATCTTGAAAAACGTTCAGGATTTCATTTCGTTCCTTGTCCAGTAAAATAACGGAACGTCCGAAAAATCATGTGAGTTCTTTTGTTTACCTGTTGCTTTCCCGCTCAATTCGGCAAACCCGCTTGTGGAGTAGCGGCGTCTCTCCACTAATTGCACTTTCTTCAGTTAATTTCTTTTAAATTGTGAAGTTTTCCCTCAGAATCATCCGTCAAGATGTCGAAGAAAGGTGCCGCGAAGAACTACGAAACGGAAAAAGGTTAGCATATTTATTTTCTCCCAGTATTTCTCATGTTAACTTTTTAGGCCTAAACTCATGGGCTTCGTTTTCTGTTGCTTGCCAGTGAATGCCCTTTGTATACTCTCCCACCCAAAATCGAGTAATCAAAATGGCTAGTTCTCAATTCCATAAGATAATTTCCTGCTTTGCTTCTTTTCTACCCAAATCTTAGCCGCTGCACTTTAAGATGTGGAAATATCACTTTTTCCCTTACTTCAGCAGGTGCGTTGACCGTGCCTATTCAGTAGCTGTCCGCTTCTTTTCCTGATATTACCACCTCCAAGCTGTTTTTCTGGCAATATATGTTGGCGTCTCACTCGAATTACAATACTGTGTAGTTTGAAAACCAGCTAGAATGAGTACTAACTTAACATTTGACGAGTCAGCGCTATTCTTCTCGGAGGGAAGCGTTTCCCGCTATTTACTTTGTTGCCATCGTTTTGAGCGCTGTCCTCTCTCTTATTATACCCAGTCTTATTTCTCCTACTAGTTTGTTGTTTAAGGATCTTTTAAGTTCAAATTCAAGGCTAAGTTAGGCTGAGAAGCATTTCTACCGATCAATGATGAATTCTTTGTTACACTGCTCATTCAGAGTTTTAGCCCAACTTTAGCGAGTTGAATTGTATCCGCATGCGTTTCATGGTGCCTCTACTCTGTTTTCTGAGAACTAGGTCTGATTTCTATTGAATTTTGGAGAACAATGGATTTCTCTGTACTGTAGACTTGGCACCACTGTTGAGGGACTCTAATGAGGTTTGGGATTTCCCAAATTCCAAGTACAATGTGCAGTGTTGCCAAATTGAGATGTTGATTGAATTCTCTCTTTACTTATCTCAATGCTGTGAGCTCAGTATTAATGTGTTAGCAAATCATACTCAATTCTGTGTTACACTGTTTCTTATCTCTCAATTAATTTATTGTTTCCAATTTCTTGAGCAGAGAAAGCTGAACAGTTTTTGACACAGTTTGCTGCCAGCAAAGACGGAAGGAAGTTTTACAAATATGCAGAACAATTAACTAGATTGGCGCACAGGGAACAGGTACTTATTTCTATTACATCTCGACCCAAAGTTTTATTTTCGTACCACGATTTTATTATCTATTTAAGTAATTCGATAATCAATTGTCTCATCTTGAATTAAATATAAATTATTGCAAATTAATAAATTGCTTATATTTTAATGAAGAGAATATAATCAAGCTCTTTGTTTGCATTTTCTCATCCCCAGAGCATTTCACACCTTTTCAAAATTTCTACCGACCAACTGGAGGAGCATCCATGATTAGTGTATCGATGTGTGTCGATAAGAATTTCTGGCTAAATAGTTTAATGCTGGCAAATATTCAATTCTAAATGAATAAGTTTAATGTAATGAATTTTTTTTATTTCTCAAAGAAGCTACTTCGTTGTATTTTTTTTTGCTAAGAGAATAGATATCGTAGTAAGTTTGTAGCTGTCTGAAGCCTCGTCATATTTAAAATTAATGCAGAAGTCATTGAAACAGTTATACGTAGTAATTTTATTATCCCTAGGTTGCCCTGTACGTCGATTTAGATGATGTGCACGAATTTGACCAAACGCTAGCAGAGTCCATCCTTGGAAACACTCGCAGATATGTCATCATATTTTCAGATCTAGTCCACGAACTATTGCCCAAATACAAAGAACATGAGGTAAGAAGACAAGCAAACCTTACATTTCCAATAATTATTTTTATTATTTTGCTCATTATCGTTCAAGTTCCATAGTGGTCTAGTTCCTTTGCATTACAAGTCGAAAATCATTCTTTATCTCAGTGATATAAATTGTTACCTGTTAATCTGGAAAAATTTAGCCAGTCCCATTTTTGATGGTTCCATTCAGGAGTTTGTCAATGCCATGATTCGCCTGCCACAGCTCTTAAAATAACTGAGATGCTCTCCCCTTTGTCTCCTGCCAGGCCACGGAGATTAACAAAAAGCCCTTTAAGAATTCATACACTATTCAGGCTTAAGTCTTTGAAGAAAAACGATTGTAGTGCCCTCTCTTCAATCGCAAACATTTCTTGAACCTTCTTTGTAGATAATTTGCCAGCCAAAAATTATATATAATCACCGATAATTCCTGAAAATTGGATCCTTCATTTTCAAGGAACAAAAGCATCTACCTTCTTTAATTAATTGAAACCGTTCTTTTTCAGCCTCACAATAAAGATGCTCTTGATATTTACATTGATCATCGTTTGATGATGGAACAGCAAACCAGAAGACCTGGTGAACAGAGGCCGGCTGCAAACAACTATCCTCCAGAATTGATCAGACGATAGTAAGTCTTACAATGAATTCATCCTCTTTTTGTTTCTAACATGTTAATTGACGGTAATCAGTCACTTTCTTTGAAGTAACTAAATGGCCAAACTTGAAAACAATGTATTTTGAATTGACAAGTCGTAGGCTTCCAATCATACTTACCTTATTCCTCTTGGAAATCAATCAGTGAAATTTACAGAAGATTCCTTTGATTCCTCTCCTCTGCTTGAAGAAAAATCTGTAAAAATATCAAGTATAGAAGGTGGCATGGCTTTTTTCTGAAAATGTAATGAGTGGAAATGATGAAACCCTTCAATTTAGACACTAAGTTTCTGAGTTTAGCCATCGTTATATGAAGCAGCCTGGCCTTGTCTCAGTAAGTATCTTATATGCTGAGTTGAATTAAATGATTCTAAATTTTTACACCTTTACACGCCCCTGAAAACAGGCTCAGTTGTTATCATTTTAAATAAGATGAAACCTCCAATTTTTTTCTTGAGACCCAGCTTATCACTGGATAGCGCTAGATTGTGCGAAGTTATCTTACCTGGTATTATACAATGTCCTTTGTATGATAATCAACATAAATGAGCATCTCCAGTAGTTTCATTTCAAGGTCCTACTGTGCAACTGAGGCTTACATTGTTAATATTAGAGTACTTGTAAATTATTTATGTGATCATTTCTTCTGTTTTACAGTGAAATTTACTTCAAGGACATGACCATCAACAAAATCCTACCGATTCGTGATGTCAAAGCAGTCAACATCGGTAAACTTGTCTCGATCAGAGGTGTCGTGACGCGAGCAACAGAAGTGAAACCAATGATGTGCGTTGCGACTTACACTTGTGATACCTGTAGTGCTGAAACATACCAACCTGTAAGTCAACTTTCTCCCTCGCAGCTGTGTTAGGGATTAAATCGTAGCAGCGCTCTTACTTTTCAGGCGTTTCTATTTCCTTTGATACTGAACTTCAAGCATTGTGATTGAACAATCAAAGTATTTGAAGGTGCTTGAAACTCTAGGAAGTTACAATATAAATGTAAACTAATGAATTAGCTGGTCATTAGGATAGCGCACTTTCTCAATAGAATGACCGTCATTGAAAGTATGGTGGCAGACAAGTTTATCTGCCCATGTATAATTACGATGATGAAAAATGCTGCTCTATGACACGACAGAGGGTTGAATTTTCTGTTTCGAAAATTTCATTTCCTCTAATTTTTCGTATTGAAACCAAAGTCAAAAGAACACCGTACCTTATTGTTGAGCACCTTATTGAGCACCTTATTGTTGGCTCATAAAGCATTTTGGAGAGCTGAAATCGTCTTGCAAGAATTCTAAATTAATGATCCAGTCAGATCACTGTCAATATCACCATTACCCCTACATTAGAAGTGAGTGAAGTTACACCTTCAATATCTCCAAGAATTTAATTGTACAATTAACTTGAAGTATCGTATGTAGATTTTTAAAAACCATTTGTTTCAAATAATGTTTTAATTAAGCATCTATGTTTTTTTAGGTTCATTCTCTGTCATTCAATCCAATTGAAATGTGCCCCAGTGAAGACTGCCGTGTGAACAAAGCTGGTGGAAGACTGCATCTGCAAACTAGAGGATCTAAATTTATTAAATTCCAGGAGTTGAAAATACAGGAACACGTAAGTATATTTTTTCTCTTAAACAAAGTTATCAGGTGCGGGACCTCAGGAACTTCCTAACCGTAGCACTATGGTCGCCAGTAAATTGTTAAAATCAGTTTTGTATTGATATGAATCTCTTGGTAATTCGTAGTCATACTAGAAGGGGGAGGGAATCAATATCTGAACAAAACTGAAGGAAAGCAGCTCTGGAAGTAGAAAGGCTCAGACTTTTCTGTGTCTTTGAACAAATCTGCTCTCACTTCGAGGCAAGAATTCTCAAAATATAATTTACAGTAATTTTAGGCTCATCTTCTTCGCCAAAAATCTCAGTCAGTCAGGCTGCTTCTTGGAGCCAACTGAAGAATGTTCTTTTTTTCAATATAAAGAACTGTGACTGCATATGAATCAAGAGCACTTATTAAAGAATGAGTTATTTATTTATCATTGATTTTTTATTAAAGTTGCCCAGCTTTTTGCAGCAATCAAAACTCGAATTTTTTAGGAAAACGTGTAAACAATAGGTTTCACAAATAATTCAGAACTAATCTGTAAACAGAAATATATCAAGACCTGTGGAAAAGGTCCTCACCTTCCTAGTGAAAATTTTCTTTGAATTTTTGCAAGTCCGCCAGGGAAGAAAATATGAAAATTCAACTGCAAAGATCCAAAAAGCTCCAAAAGTGATGTAAGTGTAAGTTTGAAGTTCCAAGATAAGAGTTCTTGGGTCATAGAATAACGTGGTTCGGGCACTCAAAAAAAGTTGATGAAAATTTTCTCCCTGGAGATAATGCTCCTTTTCACAGATTTGGTCACAATGGAGGCCAAGAGCAGTGAGCTTGTAAACTAGTTAAAATTGCACTCCTAATCCCTATGAAATGTACACTCCCTTTTCTTAGAAATTTTTATCAGTCATTCCATCGGAATGAACGATTGGATGTTAACACTGTTACATAAGTGAGATTGAACTTTTCAATGTTTTGACTTATTAAGCAGCTAATCTCTGAAAATGGAATTTCGACTCTAAGTCCCTCTCCGTTAGTGTTAATAATCATAATCCATTGATTTTTCAGAGTGATCAAGTGCCTGTCGGAAACATTCCAAGAGGAGTCACAGTTTTCTGCCGAGGCGAGAACACACGACAGGTGTTACCTGGAGACCATGTACAGATTGCTGGTATATTCCTTCCCCTTCTTCGTTCTGGATTTAAACAGATGGTCCAAGGTCTTCTCTCGGACACCTTCATTGAAGCTCATGTAAGTGAATTCCACTTTTCCACTCTAGGAAACCATGTTTAAAAAACAACTAATAATAATATTAGATTAACGAAGCAAAAACAGGACTTAATAGGGACATCGGATTTACTTGTCGATAACTTTCAATCCGAGGCAAGAGACATGAAAACCTAGAAATGCTGCGAGAACCTTAACGCAAGCATGCGGCTGAGGGAGTTGTCTGATAGAAATTTTAGAAACAGTAAACTTTGATCTACTAAAAGCAAGAAAAATAATTAAGCCTCAAGGGAGAGGTGTTGAACCCCAATTGAAGGGCTGTCATGAACTGAAAACTCCAGTTGCTTATCGCTACAGAAGCTGTTCATATAATACGCAATGCTGAATTTAGGATCTTTCCATCCCTGCCTTGTAACACTTTTGCAACGCACCCTTCAATGCATCAAAACAAAATGGATTAATGCTCTCTTTTACTCTCTTTCTAGAGGGTTACGCACTTTAATTGTATGAACGGCCTTAAAGAATAACAGAAGTGAAGTTGTTTTCCTAATTTTACAGAGTTGAATAAAATAATTTAAGATCACACCTTTAACTCATCAATTTTTTTGTCTGAACAGCATGTCCAGTGTTTGAGCAAAGCAATAGATGAAGACGATGCAGCCCCTGGTGAATTGACAAATGAGGAAGTGGCTGAATTAGCTGGCGAAAACTTCTATTCCAAGCTTGCTGCCTCACTTGCGCCAGAAATTTATGGTCACGAAGATGTCAAGAAAGCTCTCCTGTTGTTGTTGGTTGGAGGTGTAGATCGCAGTCCTGAGGGCATGAAAATTAGAGGTATTGTTGTGCTAGCAGTCTTATTGATATTAAGTTCTGTGCTGTTTTGAATATCCATGAATTTATTTACTCTAATTTGAAAGTCCTCAATTACAATTCATCTATAGGAAGATTTGCATAAGTGCCAAAAAGTTCTGTAATCTGCGAATTTGCAGGTCTGAACCTGCTGAATATAATTTTCCTTTGATTTCATAATCAGTGTTGTTTTGACATCGAAGTTCCTTTTGGAAATCACTTAATTGCATAAATTATAGTTCATGCTTTTTTTTTTTATTAAAATTTTAAAGATACCTTTTTGTTATTTAGAGTTAATTTCAAGCTTATAGGATTTATTCCTGCGGTTAGTCCATAACACACAAATCATGCTAAAACTGCCGATGTCCAGTTTATTTCCATCGGCTTTTTCAAAACTTTCTGTGAATTGAATTTCGGAAATCTGAATTACCTAGTCATGTTAGAAAAATGTGATATCCATTCCCTTTCTCTTTTTCTTAATACGTGTCAGTAAGAGAAGAAGCTAAGATCGACTAGGAATCCTTTTCTGCAATTCGCCACGGTATTTTTTACCACCTAGGCTCATTTTATTCCTGTAATTGTGAGGCTTGCACGATTATTTCCAGTTTTTTTTTCAAAATTGGGATAAATAGTCATCAGCAGTTTTTGTATGTGCCAATTGAAATAGATTTCACAATAATTACTTTTTTCAGGTAACATCAATATTTGCATGATGGGTGATCCTGGTGTAGCCAAGTCTCAGTTACTGTCTTACATTGAGAGGTTGGCAAGGCGAAGTCAGTACACTACTGGCCGAGGTTCCAGCGGTGTTGGTCTCACAGCAGCTGTCATGAAGGACCCTCTCACCAATGAAATGGTTTTAGAAGGTAATCCATCCATTAAACATTTTAAAGAGACAATTGAAAGTTTACTCTAGCCCTTTCATCACCAGGCTTGCTTCCGTGTGCGCATGCTCCACAATGAGAATTGGTTGTCATACAAACAAATTGGAGTGCCCTGTTTTGAAGTGTCTAAAGTTGTAGCTCAGATTCTCCCAAACAAAAAGAGCTACAAATGTGAATATTTCTAACTGGCAGCTGTTGAGTGATGGCAGAATTCTTACAGGAAGGATGTAGGCACGCTGAAAGTGGATGCTACGTTCGTGTTACTGAAAAGATATAATTTTTAATATGATCCTGGTCACTAAACTCTTAATTTTTCATCTCCATGGTTGTATTGTTTTCTTTTATCAAGCCCAACAAATTTCCTAAAAATTTTTTCATGTTTCATTTTCATGCAATTTTATTTTCATTCAATGATGAAAGAAAATATTTTTAAGTTAACTAAGGATTTTTGTGCTGTTTTAATTGACCCTCAAAACGAAGTAGAGCATATTCTCTCTGCTTGATGATTTCATTTGTTTATCTGCGCTTTTGCCGAAAAATGTCAATATTTTCAAGAAATTTATTGAAATGAATATTTTTTTTTACAAATCACAGGTGGAGCTCTAGTGTTGGCTGATCAAGGAATATGTTGCATTGATGAGTTTGACAAAATGTCAGAGTATGATAGAACAGCAATTCACGAAGTTATGGAACAACAGACGATCTCAATAGCTAAGGTATGATGCTCCTTTTCCTATCCAAGGGTGAAAAAACTTGTATCACCCAACAAGTGGTTGTTTTTCACTCTCTTCACTAAATAAGGACTTCCTTTTCACTCGCCTATAAATTTTATTAGTTCTTAACAGTTTCATGCTGAATTTGGTGTGGGAGAGATTATTAAGTATAAAAAGAGACCAAGTTATTGCAATATTTTGAAGAAAGAATGTCGAAATTGTGATGATAATACAAGCATATAATGTTGAAGAAAAGAAAGAAAAAAAAGTTTGTTTAGGAATCAATCATTTTGAATTTAAATTGGAGGGTGTTTCATAATCTAGGGAATGTTTAGGACTCCTATGAAACTAATCTCCTCTGTTACTCGAACCAATTTTGACGGAACAGGATAGTCTGCTTTCATGTTCAACTCTTTCATCTGTCCAAGAATCTAATGAAAACATTTTTTTTTTACAGGCAGGAATAATGACAAGACTGAATGCACGTGTTAGTATTCTGGCTGCGGCTAACCCTGCGTTTGGAAAGTATAACGACAAACTCAGTGTCTCAGCAAATGTGCAGCTCCCACCAGCACTACTGTCCCGTTTTGATCTCCTCTGGCTTATCCAGGACAAACCTGACAGGGATAATGATTTGAAGTAAGTACATTTCTCAGTAATTTTTAGTCTCTTCGCAGTAACAGAGTAGGGCCGACACATAATTGGTGATGAAAACCAAACCAAAATAGAGGCGTTGGGTGCAGAAAGGGCATCTCTTGGTTGCGGTGTCTCAGAATCTCACAGCTAATTTATATTTTAGAAAGGGAACTATAGGGTATATTTCCTGAAATTTTTTGTTTTCAGCCTCACAAAATTTCAAAGAAAATGAAAAGTTTTTACGAATACCATACATTTGTTTTAATTATAACGGATGAAAAGTTAGCAAAAATTCTGAGACACTGCAACCCTTTCTGCACCCAGCGCTTCAATGGGCCTGTTGCAAACTTTTGCTAGAGCGAAAATAATAGTTGTTTCTTATAGATAATGCCTCAAAAATCACGATGAGCACATCGGCAAAGTCTGAAATGCTCTAAAAAATTCACAATCTGCGCAAAAAATCTGTGTTTTTTTGAGCTTCCCGCTTCAAAAACGATACCATGGCACAGGTGAACATTTTGTTAGAGTAGTCGCTCCCTTGTCCACAATATTCATCATTGCCGACGCTTCCGCAGTTCCATGCAAAATTTGAGGAGAGTTCAAGGTCAATCAAGCTCGAGCAAGGAAAACATGAATGTAAACACGCCGATTGTCATCTAGTCTTATCCTGGTCAGGTGTTATCTTGTCACATCACACGTGTTTTGGCGGATTGCCATCGGCCATGATGAGTATTGCCGACAATGGAGTGACTCCTCTAACCAAATGTTCACCTGTGCTGTAGTATTGTTTTTGAAGTGGGAAGCTCAAAAAACTGCAAATTTCCTACACAAATTGTGAAGTTATGAGTACATTTCAGACTATGCCAGTGCGCTCATCTTGATTTTTGAGGCATTATCTGCAAGAAACAACTCTTAGTTTTGCTCCAGCAAAAGTTTGCAACAGGCCCATTACTCCATCTACATCCCTCTACATCTACTGTATCATCTACACACTGCATCATCATCACAACATCTACTGCCCTTCTGGGATTTTTCTGAGTATTTCTGTCTGCCTGCGCCTGCCTGTCCTTCCAAGTTTTTCGTCATTTAGCAAAATACAACTCATCATTTGTGCAGGTTGACTTTCTAATTTTGTGTCAACCATTATGACTTAGGTCAGTTATCAATCTCCCTTTTCTGCCCCTTAAAATCTCAAGGATCAATACGAGACGGAACCAAACTAGTGATGAAATGAACTCTCTTTCAGTTTTCTATCTGGTTATTGATTTTATAACTGCCACGGTCTTATTGGCCTGAAGAATTGACTCGAATATATTATTTTCATGACACAGGTGGCAGTCCATTGATGCTAACTATCAAAATATGCTCTGCACTAAATTGGTTTAAACTGTGATCAAAGCATCTCATTCCAAAATTCACGGAAACTTAGCAATTTTCTCACCTCTGCTCTTCTCTCCGCAGGTTAGCTCAACACATCACATATGTTCACCAACACTCACGCCAGCCACCGCTTGACTTCAGGCCGTATGATATGGGTCTGATGCGCCGTTATATTGACCTGTGTAAGAAGAAGAATCCAACAATCCCAGCCTCCCTCACAGAGTACATTGTTGAATCGTATGTCGAACTGCGGAAAGAGGCCCGGAACCAAGGCAAAGATTCCACTTTCACATCACCAAGGAACCTCCTGGCCATTCTTAGATTATCCACAGCTCTTGCTAGGCTCCGGTTGGGTGATGTTGTCGAGAAGGATGACATTCGAGAGGCAATGAAGCTCATTGAAATGTCAAAGATTTCGCTGAAGTCGCAGAATCATGCCGGCACCACCAGGTTCGTCATATATCACTTTTATTTTCCATACTGTTTTGATTTTTCGTTAGAATTCTCGCTTTTTAGTAGAATTTCAGTGTTTAATTGCTGTTTTTCATTTATTATAATTTTAATTTATATGGCTAAGGATTTACTCCATTGTTTTAGTATCATGTTGAGTTTTGCTCTTCAAAATCAATTCCCTCAAAAGTTTTTTTCTTCATGTAACAATTTCTGGAGACTAAGTATCAACGCTCATAATATGTTTCTTAATGAATGAAAGCTGAATATTTTCTTGTTAACTCCCATAGCTTGAACATTAATTTTACTCATAAGCCATTAATTTCTCCAGTTTTTAGAAAAATATTTTATGTTCAATTGTTAGTAAGTACATATTTTAATTTTAGCTGTTTAAAGTTCACTCATTTCTCCTTGAAGCTTCTTGTTATTACTCTAAGAGAGACTACATAGTTTGTCAAAATATATCAAGGAATCATAAAACTCTTAACACTCCCCCATTTTGCTCAAAAAAATGATATGTACTTCAAAACCGGTCCCTACATGGCCAATTCCATAAGTGTGCGAAAACTTTATTATGAACAAAGGAGCAATTTCTTTTACATATATTTCCCCTTAATTCGTCACATGAGAAGTATCTTGATTGAATTATTCCATCTTTACCAGTTCTTAGCTTTGTTGTGACTGCAGCTTTTAGCTACTGCTTCGTTGTTTTTTATACTGCATTTATTCACCCTGAAGCCTTGTGTTTTGAGACAAATATCCCGTCTTTAATTTTGACCGTGTCAACTTTCATCTTTGTTGAAAGATTAGATTATATCCTAACGACTCTTATTCACAACAAGATCAATCTTTAATCAGATATTATCAGCAATATCCTATAGTTTTGACCATTTTCAAAAGAGGTCTTAAATGGTTGTGACTTGTGCTTCTTGGAAACAGGCAAATTTTGGCCCCATCATATTGCGGAATGTAGTTACGGGTGTTCCTCTAGTGTCACATATCCAATTATACTGTGACTAGAGTTACACTCGTCAATTACGTACGCATTACTCATCACACAACACTCTCCAAACTCACAAGATCAAAAGAAATCTTTTGTGCTGGTCGATTTTAGTGAAATTTCTGGAAGTCAAAAAAATATCCCATTCTTTATGCCAGCAGTCTGGAAAAGTGTGGAGTCCACCTTTCAAGATAAAATCAATGTATCAAAAACTTAGCTAGGAAACAATGTGTCATTATCTCCTAAATTTTTTCTCTCAAATTTAGCGTTTAAGTCGTAAGGACTCTTGCTCAATGTTTCATTCGTACCAGCAGCCCTAATCATATCGTATCCCTTAAAAATTTTCCAATATGTTTCAGATTTTTGTTTTCACTCTTTAATTTCCAACTTAATAATGTTCTTGAAAAAAACATAAAGTTTACTAGAAGGCCCTCACATTATATTATTTCTCTCCGTATCATTATCGGATTAGTATGTCAAATTATCACACACGTTTTGGTGTTTTCAAACTGTCAGCCTTGATGAATACTCCTTGAACGCACAGATTGTGGTTGCGGGTGTCACTCTGGTGCCACGTGCTGGTTTATGTCGTGACTAGAGTTACACTCGTCAACTACGACTGTGAAAGTCATCGTCAGCTTCTGCCAAGAAATGAATCGGACACTGCTTCTGTTTTGCCTGAGTTTTCATCTTCCATCATGTATGCATCTAGTTTGTGCTTTAATCGTGCTCAAGGGTTGAATTGTTACATCAATATGTAGCAGTACAAATATGTGACTAGTTTAATTTACACCTTAGATGCCAGTTGATACTAGCAAACCTTTTTTCGCTAGTTTTTTCATAATTTTGGTTCTTCTACAACAATAATGTATTCGTTTGTTTTGCCTTGCTGCTGTGTACAAGTTACTGGTCGTTGCAAAGATACATCAATGGTACATCAAATATTGACACAATTAGAGTTACATTGTCTTTGAATACAGTTACTTCCATTTGATTAGTATATATTACTTTGAGTCTTTAGTATCCATGGAAAATTGAGGTCAGTTCTCTTCTCCAAAAATTAAACACCGCTGAAGATTTTGAAAGAAAGAATTGAAGTGCTGGGTGCAGAAATGGCACTTATTGGTTGTGCTGTCTTTGAATCTCTCTGCTAAAATTTCATCCATTTAGATCAAAGCAAATAAATGTAATTCATTGAAACTTGGACTGGAAATTTTGTATGATTTTACTATGTTCCATGGAGAAGATCTCAGAAAATACATCCATAGTTTTTTCTCTGATCTCTAATATATCAGTGACGTTTCTAAAACACTGCACCTCAAAAGTGCTCTTTCTGCACACAACACCTCAATTTACATAAGTGCATTTGTTTGCACTACTGACAGATTTTTTACTTTTGTAAATTATGTTTCAAGTTTGAATTTTTGTCAGGTAATCTAGTTTTTGTGCAATATGTAGTAGAGCAATGTAGCCTGATTTTTTTTCATAGCATGCTAATTGTAAATCTTGAGTGGTTTCCTGGAAATGGATTCTGAATCTAGAATATTTACTAAATCTAACTTTGATGCCAAGTGAAATTTCTGGATGGATCTTATTACATAATAGCTTTTAGTAATGCAGATGGATAGGCTTTAACAGAAATGCACCAAGTTGCATATTGGATTAAAAATAAGTTGAGGGTAGTTCTGAATTCATCCAGTCATAAATGTTCTTATTTCAAACATTAATAGTTGAGATTAATATTTAAAACTTGGAAATAGTCATTTAACTTAGTTCTTAACATAAAGACTCATGGAGGAATAAAATTTCAAACCTCTTTTTCTTGGTTCAACTTGATGCGACTCGGAGCGTTTCTCTTAAACTCTTGTTCAGCTCAGATCTGAAGTAAATATGAATGCCTGAGATTTGAAACAAACCGTTTATTATTTTTAATTTTATTTTCATTGTCATTAGTTTTTGTTTCCCTAATTAATGTAAGCTTTTAGCTTAGTTTCCCTTGATGGATTCGCCATAATCATTGTGGGATGTGGTTGCGGGTGTCTCTCTAGTGAAACGTTTTTTTTGCCTCGTGACTAGAGTTACACTCGTCAATTACATCTGCGCTTCTCATCTGTTCAACCTGCACCGAGCTACATTTTATCCAGCCTTTCTTCTATCAAAAATCTTCAGCCACTAGAGCTTGTGTGGATTGCATCTGAATTTAGAATGTGTAGTTGCGAGTGGTGCTCTAGTATCGCAATCATTTTCTATACTTGTGACTAGAGTTACACTCGTCAACAACGCACTCTCCTCTCATCGCTGGGCATCAGTCAGAAGGGCACATGAGGATCAGACCATGACTCGTTTTGGGGATTGTCTTCGCCAGTGTACCTCTAGTGTCACATTTTATTTGTTTTGTGACTAGAGATACACTCGCAATGGCATACCCTAGTTTCATCAGTACTGGATATTTCTCCGGAATTATCGAGTTAAAACCAGCAGAGCCTCTCAACACCTGTTGCAACTACTTTATTGTAGAAGTCTGCTCTTATCTTTCTTTTTTTATCTTCTCTCGAAAGGAGAGATTGTCAATCGTCGAAATGAGCCTGATTTTACAGGATTGTAATTGCATTAAACTTTGTCCATATTTTCTTAAACCATTTTTGTGATCGCATTGCATGCAACTCTTTGAATAGTTGTTACTGATTGTTTTCATCAAGTGTGTCTGTTAGATTTACAGTGTATGAAAGTTTAAGACTTGATCAATATTGCGAAGCCAGTTTATTTATGTAATTTTTTCTTTTATTCATTTGGATGCGGAAGGGAAGGAAATACAGTTTGAAATAGACACATGTATAAGTAAAGAACTATAAACTTGGGTGAACATGGCTCTAAAAGCCTTTGTAATTCTTCTATTATCAAGCCGTAAGTTGTGCATCATCACAAAGAAAGGGAGGAGGAGGCACATATTAAGGTAGTGGCAAGGAACTTTTGCAGGGTTGTAGTATAGTTTTTTCCACCTAAAATTTCGGTATTCAAAAACCGTCAAGAGTATTCATTGATCGGCGCATCAAAAAAAATTTTTCGCAGGTTATCCTTTTAATTAACCTTTTAATGAAATTCGTCAGAGTCAAATGTCGAAATCACAAATGTGAATTTGCAATAAAACGTTGAAAATTATATTATTGCAAATGCATAAAGTAAATAGCCTGTAAAACGTATTTGAGCACTTTCACTTCGAATTTCTATATTGGCTGTTCATCTTTTTCTTATTTTGATTTTGAAAATGTCTTTAATTGTTAACGTTTTTGTTTCAGGCAAAAAGCGGTGGAAGACAAAATCTTTGACATTGTCCGTGATTCGGCGGGAACTCGGCGAGAGCTGCAGATTGCCGATATCTTGGAACTGTGTATGAGCAAAGGTTACAATCAGGATCAAGTACACCAATGTCTGGAGATTTATGAACAACTCAACGTTTGGCAAATCAATCAAGCAAGAACGACACTCCAATTTTTGGATTACTAAAGTACTGAAAATTAAGTTTTGTTTGTACCATTAAGGCTCAGATGTCTGGCCCTCTACCAAAAATTTAGGTTCCACAACCAGTCATAATTTTCGTGAATCTGCGATAGTATACTAGAACTATTTGTCTGCTGAACAAATGTACTGCACTGTGCCATCTCCTGTGAGGCAGCTGATGTTTCACAAATGTTCCTTTCAATCCCTCTTCTTTTCCTAAGAGGATATCAACTGAAAATGAGATGGGGAATCAATCTTCGATGGGCATGTTGATGAAGCTGCAGGCTAGCTCTTGGCCTCATTAACAGCCTGCTGAAATGTATTTATCCAACAGTTTCAACCTTTTTTAGGTGTAATTTTAATTGAAGAGATACCCTGTTTCGTGAAATTGTTAATGACTTTTAATCGTCACTCATTCAGTGTTCAACTATTTCTTACCTAATTTTGTTTTACTTTTTCTACAATAGAATAAGTATTGTAATGGTAAAAAAAATTTGAATTTGAGTTGACACTGATGGTAATAATGCCTGAGTCTGAAAACATTAAACATGTTTGATGAAAATATTTTTTCCGTAGCGCCAGTCAAATTCATCACCAATAAGATAGTCGATTTTAAATGACCCACAAATTCTAAATCTTGCAGATGCATGTAAGGGTGGAATATTGTTACTGCCGACCCCTCTTAGTTGTTAAATCTTTTAACGTTCACTCGCTGAACATTTTTACTCCTTCTTCAACCCCCGCCTACACACATTTGTTAAACCAGGCAGTGCCAATTTAAAATATTTTCTATTATTATGTACCTATTGCATGTATGTACCTGTTTTTCATAACCAAATCATATTTTATGAGTAAGTGCTCTAACTGAACAGAGAGCTACTTGTAAAATTTGCCGTAAAATTAGACTTTTCCACTAGTGAATGAAGAGCGCATGCTACACATTGCGCCTAAAAAATTGATGCAGACTTGAATCTGTTGTATCCTCGCTCTTTGCGAAATCTTCCATAATATTAAAAATCTTTATGGCTGATATTGAATTGTAGATTGTTGAAAATTATGCTTGCAGCCACATTCCTGTAACTTTCCAGTGAAGTCAGAACGCTGCCATAGATCATAGAAAGTATGACAGTAATAGTTAGTTTTTTTTTCACAGAGCAAGTTTGGTCTTGAAAGTTCCCAGCATTTTTCTGTGCATCTAGTGTCCTTATCTTAAATTCATCATCAAAAATATGTTAGAAATCCTTATGTAACCACTGAGACAGCTGATAACGCAATATTTGACCGTCTCTGAAGCCAAGGAAAGGATCTCAATTGTGCTGTTTCAGTAGTTTTCTCTCAAATTTTATTTGTTTTTCAAAAGAGCATCGTATGAATTCTTCCAAAATTTCTGGGAATTTTTCATTACCCTTATGAAAATAAACACTTAAATTTTCAGGCTAATTCATGTGATGTGACCCCTCTCTCAAGAAAAAATGAAACGTCATTAGAGGTACTGAAACAGCACAGACAAGATACGTTCCTTCGAGAGAGAGTCAAAAATAATTGTCGCACACCACTATTTCATGATTAATGATTGCATTAAATTCCGATATAGTGTTGCTTGAAGAGAATACAAACCGAACCATTTAGATCCGAATGAAGTCCACTGACTTCCTTTTCTATTCTTGTAGCATCAGCTGTTAGCTCAGTTTAAAGACTGATTATTGTGTCTTATTTGCATTTAACTTACTTGTTAATACATTCCGGTGACATTGAAGATGAGTTCTAGCAACTTGCATTATAGTTATAGGTTTTAACAGTTTCAAAAAGTATGATTCCAAAAGCAACTTGTGTGCCTAGTTTTTAATAATTCAACTATGTTTTTGTAATTTTTTACGTGTATTTTAGTGTTTTTAATTAATTTATTAAAGTCAATAATTTTTCAAATTTCTGTTATTTTTTTTATATCAAATTTAGAATCTTATTTTTGAGAATGGAAAATCAAATTAAATCTAATGTGCCTCTCCACACGCGTGTTTCCATCTCCTGTGATCATTGATACTGCCATAAACATAATAAGTAGAGAGACAAGGATAATGTTTGGTGCAAGTGAAAATAACTTAAAATTAAAAGAATTTTTAGAAAGCGATGGAATGTAATCATTTTTAGTCAAAGAAAACCAATAATACTCTGTCAATACTACTTATGCAGGACTTGAAAAAAGCAGTTTTATTTTCAACTGAGTATTTGATTAGGTTATCGAGAAGACAGCTCACATTATTAGGAAGGGTCGAATCCTGGAATGAAACACACTTTTTATTCTGTGTATTTAATGGAAACCTTTCTGAGGGGTAGTCTCTGAAAAGAGTTTCGTGACTCTCTTGATGAAATTGAGTTAATGATTAATTTTGGCTAAAATTCGAAAGTCAGGTATTGCATGTTGAAATAAGGAAGAAGAAAAGGTTGACTACTAGCTCATTTTTTTTGCCCTAGTGTTAAAGTCAGCAGCCTATTCGTGTTGAATGCTTCCATGTAAGTTATTCAGAATCCTGGGGAAATATGAAGCAAGCTATTTTATTGCGGCTACAAGTCTCAGTTAATGTGGTCTGGGTTTAACAGAAGCACACCAAGTTGTATTTCGGACGAAAAATAATTAATAATTTAATAAATGAAATAAATAAGGAAATAATGAATTTAATAAATGAAGCTTTGAATTCAACTAGTATTTTTTCTCTTATCAAAAATTCAAAGTTGAGAGGGAATATTTTGAACGTGAAAACAGTCATCAATTTTTGTCCTAATTATTGAATCTTTCGGATAAATACAATCTCAAACCTCTTTTTTTGTAGTTCAAACTTGGTGCGTTTCCGTTAAACCAAGCCATAAGTTGATTTGACAGTGCACGGTGTAAAACTTTTTTTTTTTTTAAGGGCCTGAATAGTGAGACACAATGTCCACAAAATGGAATAAAAATTTCAATTTACGCCAAAATTCTTCGGCGCCTATGATATCATACTTTTCGGGATAGAGTCCCTGACTCCCTGTATTGAGCTCTTGCACAGGGACGGAAGGGCCGGGCGATTAGCGAGCACAGCTTGGCAACGCTGCCTCGCCCCGACCCTCATCACTCGGACCGTCCGCCCGCCCAACAGGTTTTTACAGCGTTGCCAAACCTCCCCACGCATCGGATTTCCACACCCGGCATTTTTATTCCCTGTCATTCAACACCTAACTCGCTAAATATTTGAAATCAGCAAGCCGTAGGATATTGTCCCTTTCGATTCGACTCTTCCGTAGCAATGATCAAGTCCATTGAATTCGTAAAATGGGACCCTGTTCCTTTTTTAGGCTTATAGGTGGTGGGCATCTTTGTGATGAAGGTGTTCGGCGTCCAGTTCGACGCGACGCTGCGGCCGGTCATCCAATAGGAAGGCCCGTTTTTCACCATCTCCCATCTATAGTTCCTTTGCCGCGTGAATGAGATGAGGTGGTTCGCGTCCACTTGAAAGAAGCACCCAGCGTGTATTTTTGTATGTATGTTTTCTCTGGCACCCAGTTGTATTCATGGTTGCTGTTCGGCGGTCTAATAATGGTTCCCCAGCCCAGCATCTCTCCCTTGAGCATCCTATTTTATGTCCAGAGGTACACCCCTTCCCTCTCTGCTTAGGTCGCTTAAGTCTTATGCTCTGGTCTCATTGAGCACGTCGAACCATAGAATTGCTTGGCTCTGAAAAAAAGAAAAAAAAATAATTTCAAAACAGAAGAAAAAACTAAATTTTAAAAAAAATGAAAAAAATAATTTAAAATTAAATGAGAGGAATAAATAAAAAAAATAATTTAAAAAAATGAAAAAAAAATATTGAAAAAATGGAAAAAATAATTTAAAAAAATCTGGGAAGCAGGGAACTGATTTTTTCCGAGAATTTTCGGCGAGGGGATAATGTCTTTGGCGCATGTTTAGTTTCCGAAAACAGTCCAAATATAACATTTGTCGGCCCTTTCATTCACTGGAAAAAAAAACACATTGGATCTTGAGTCCAGACTCTTGAAAACATTGACCAAAAAAAATACTCTTGATTCAATCGGATTTTTGCTTGAATCAAAACGAAATCCGCTTAAATTAAGAGGCTTGGTTCGTGATTTAAGCTAGATTCTGATTGAATCAAGAGTACTTTTTCTTGTCGATGTTTTTAAGAGTATGGACTCCAGATACAATGTGTTTTTTTCCAGTGTTGGTTTCAAACCTCATATTTGGGTATTTATCGAAGCGAAAAAGAATGCCTGCCTTAATGCGTGTTTAAAGTAAAATGGAAAAATAAATCAAACATGCGTATGACTAGTCGTATCAGCAACGTTTCTGCTATAAAATGGAATTTTCATGCACGTTTCCTTATAGTCGGGCAGTTTTCGAGGCAAGACATCCATTTCCATCAATGAAAATGCTCGAGTTTTTAGTCGGGTAAATTTTTAAGTCGATGTCCAATGAAGCCGAGAAATGAGCATCTTCTTTGCAGCTATTAAAAACTTCCTGTTATATTATATTTTTTATATTAATAGGAAAACTAGCATGGACTACATACTCTTCGGAATTTTCTATGAATAGGTAATTATGAATGTGTGCAGAAAATTTACTCGTGGAAAATTTCAGAAAAAATTACCTAGTTTCCGGTTACAAAATAAAACATGAACGGAGATTTGCAGCGCCGTAATCGGAGATGCTCCTTTTAATATTGTAGTCAGTGTATAAAAAAAGGGGTAAAGAGGCAATAAATAACTAAAAAATGGGTTACTTTCATGGGATTATGCTTCTTTCTTTAGCGGATCAAAATAATCGCCCACTCAAGAATCAAAGGTGTTAAATAACAACGCCGCGAGTTCGCTTTATACCTCGAGCAACTATTTTAACTCCCGTGTGGTCAAATTGCATACCCGAAGAATTGAAGGAGTTCCCCATGAAGCGCCTGCGCCAGTGTATTTGCTTTTACCTCGAGCAACTATTTGAACACCCCGGTGGTCAAATTGCATTACCGACGAAATGAAGGAATTTAGGACAAGTAGTGTCTCCGTCGTGGCTTCGTGAGTTTGCTTTAATAACCCGAGCAACTATTTTAACTCCCCGAGGATAAAATTGGATAGGTATCAACGGTGAAACTCCCAAACTACGTACCTTGGCTCGCGACGTTTCAGACTTCCTGCCATACTTTAATTTTTAAATGGAGAACTACTCATAACGTCAATTCTTCTAAACTTCAAAACTCGGTGTGTGAACAAAATTCTGCGAAAACTTCAAAGAATGATGTTGATTTGCTCTTATTCAAATGAACAAACAAACGAACAAAAATTGGGGCGGAGATTTTTGAATACCAAAAACGAAATAAGTGGTTTGGGAGCTTCGGCGTTGAAATATCATTTCACAAAAATGTTTTCATTGAGAATCAAGTAGCACTAATACAGGCTTATTCAGTGGCGTGGCGTGCTTTGCGATGTATTGATTGATACGCCATTTAAACCTATGAATAAATATCGATTATCAGGGCGTTCGTGATCGACTCCAAAAATAGTCGATTTTATACCATAGTTTCAAACGAGATAATATCCATAGTCGATTATCATGCCTCGCCATTGTAAGTTTAAACTGAAAGCCGACAGGTGGGAACTGAGCCCAGAGACTTTAACGATGGGCTGAGAAAGTAAACCATCATGGTTTTATCACCATCACTTGAAAAAAAACCACATTGGATCTAGAGCCCAGACTCTTGAAAACATCGACAAGAAAAAATACTTTTTGATTCAATCAGATTTAAGCTTAAATCAAAAGGAAATCCGCTCAAATTAAGAGGCTTGGTTCTTGATTTAAGCTTAAAGCCGATTGAATCAAGAGTATTTTTTCTTGTCGATGTTTTTAAGAGTCCGGATTCAAGATCCAGAGTGTTTATTTTCCCAGTGATGCATATTGCAAATATTATTGTTCTAAAAAAGGTATTCATTGTGTGTCAAATAGCACAGGTGCAACTACACTGAAAGCCGGCTCCATTAAAATACCGCAAACAAGATTCGCGCTTGGAGATTTTCAACGTCGATATCTGAATCCAACCTAACCTGAATCGAAGGGAGATCGCAGATTTAGATTCTAGTCTAATGGTCTGATTGAGTACAGAAAGCAGGAGCGCCTTATCTCCAGCAACTATTCTAACTCCCCGGAAATCGAATTGCATATCCAACAAAATGAAGGGATTTTCAAAGTGTCTGGTGATTTGAGTTCTTACAGTTTATGACTAAGCAAGAGTGACGTTCGCCATATTTGAAAGCTCGCTTTGACCTGGCATACAAATATGGCTAGGGTAACCGCGACAAAAACCTCTCCGTGTCATTTTAGACGAGCTTTACAATCCAAGTTTAACAACACGGGGCTGTTTAAAAATGACAGCCTGCAGAAATTAATTTTTTGTACGCGCTGTGTCGCGTGCTATCCTAGTGGGTCTACACTGTTCTGCTGATAGAGCCCAGTAATTGAGAGAGTTGATGTCTCAGCTCAGCGACTGATTTGAAAGGAATCCCATTAAGTGGCACTTAAGTCCCTATGGGTCCTTAGTCCCAATTTTTTACATTGTAACAATTGATCAAAATCATAAGCCCTTCGTTCCAAAATAAATCTCACCATGAGAGTCTTGTGAGGGGAGGGGGAGGGTCAGTTTTCTCCGTCTTTTAAAATCCTAGTAACAGCTCCAAACAAAATTCGATCACGTGGTCTGAGCAGAAGTGCAGTCATCGTGGTATACACGCCTTTTAAGACTCAGAAAAGTTCTCCAAAAATATTATTTCCCCCAATTTTTAGGAATTTAAGCCTTGGTCCATGTTTAAGCATTTAGAACTCTCGCTTCTCTCATTTTATAAGGAATGTTTATCCAAATCGTGACCTTGCGGCCAAAGTATCACAAGCGCTACGCGAAGTTTCGAAATTTTTGCCGATATTTTATTTATTTTACAGAGAAACTGTTGGTTGAATCTGTTTGAAAATTTCACTGAATTTTATCGGCAGCACAAAAAAAATTCAGTGAAATTTTCGGATAGCTTAATTGGACAATTTCTCTGTAAAATTAAAGTGGCGGCAGAAATTTTGAAAAGTGGCATGCGGCGCATGATAATTTTCGGAAGATGACGAAACGTGCTTTTTTGAGCACTGCATGGAGGAAGCAGCTTAAAAAAAACAATTTTGTCTAATTCACAGAGGGACTTTTTGCAGCACCCTACCCATGAGTGAAAAAACATCGTGAATCCCATTTTTCCAGTTTTCTCGTTCACGATCATGTAGGCAGCTGAGATCATATGCCTCTCGTGAATAATAATGGAGAAGAGAGGAAGATGCTGGTGTAACAGATCGAGATACTTCGAAGTCAAGTGCACCTGCGAACATGACACTTTTACTTGATGCAGCATAAATTGTTCACTTCAGCCTGCAGTGTTGAACGATGTCTGTCACCAGGCAATGGGCCTGTTGCAAACTTTTGCTAGAGCAAAACTAAGAGTTGTTTCTCATAGATAATGCCTCAAAAATCACGATGAGCGCATCGGCAAACTCTGAAATGCACTCATAACTTCACAATCTGCGTAAGAAATTTGCG